GCCAGACCAACAACGCCAATGGTTTGGCACAATGAACAATTTGCCACATCTCATTTATTTAACTGTGGCCTCTGCTGGGTTCAGTATTTAGAGGACCGTACATTTTACCATATTAGATTAACCATTTGCCACGTATATTTTTTGATTGATTTGGTTATCCATTAATCGGCACAAACATTTTACCAAAACGTGAAACTTGTGTTTCTATGAGAAATTAGCATGATTATAATCCTTAATTTGTTACACAGGGGACCCATAATTTCCATGAAATCAACATTTAATTATGATATTCAATACATAAAATGCTAAATAAATGTTTAATTTTGATTCAATTGCCCATGTACGCTTTAAAAATCAATTGTATTGACACCAGACCAGAGGGTAATGCATGTGTGAAAAGTACAAACCTGTGCAAGTTGTAAAGTATCTCGATCAGGCAACCAATTCAGTGATCTTGCTATGACTTTGCACCACGGTCTCATTAAACAAGTACTCAAATTGCATGCGTTTGCATCTGAGACCATCATGCTCCCATAATAGTCCGCTAAGACAATACCATTTTTAGCTTGTATTGATTATGCTTTGTCTGCAGACATACAGTACTTGATACGCATACGAACTGTTTGAGGTATAGGCATACTTATTAAAATATGGTAACCCCTAAAGTCAATGCAATTTAAGTGCAAAGATTAAACGATTAAAATATATTCTTATGTTTATATATATATATAAATTACATGTTAATGTTACAATTAGACTAATGGAGCAGGAATAACTGTACAAATCAGACGAAATGCATTGCATCTTTGGATTAAATCATTACATGCCTATAAATGACGTGTCGTGTGTGTACGAATTTAACACCCGAAATCCATACTTATTTCCCCAACGCAGCATTTCATTAGCCATACAGCATATGTTTAATCCTAAATTGCTATCTGTGCTTTACTTTCACCTCGACAGTTTTGTTGATCCCATTGCACAAACGTCAAAATGTCTTTATTGTTAGCTTCAGCAATGTCAGAAACCCAAAGAAACACTGTTTGTTTTATTGCAGCGTCGTGTTACAAATAAAAAAAATGAATTGACATTATAGCCTGTAAGTTACTCAATCATAATCGTTTCATCCTATTCAGAGTATTTTACAAAGACGTGTGGATTTCTATGTCAAGGCAATACTGTACATTCTTGGACGGGTTACAAAATCGCTGCAAAATTTAATTTAACACAGTGGTGCCCAATTGCAATCTACGAATAGAGTGATTGATGTGCATGCTCTAAATAATGATAGCACTTACGTTAGGGGGGGGGGAAGGCTTTTGCTATTTTTATCAACAGCTTTGTAGAATGTTACCAATGTACAAAGTTCCATGCAGGCCGCGAGGTTTCTGGCTTGTGCTAAAAGAGGGGAAAGTGCCAACGCATTTTGCCGGAGACGAGTGCAGATTAACACACAGAGGATTGAGGGCTTTAAGCATAATCCTTTCCATTTTAGACATGAAAGTTAACTAAATTTAGTTGTGTACACCAGAGTTTAGAGCTCCACCACAACAATACAGCATCCAACCCCTTCAACATGCCCCACACGGCTCGATGACGACCTCCCCCCATGCCAAATCGTTCACGGTGGTTGTTTAACAACAGTTCACCACTCTGGTCAGTGGAGGTCGATTAAATGGGGGGCCCATGATCGGTCATTCGCCACTGATGCTAGTCGTGGCAGGGAATGTAACTCAGTCCGCTGGCTTTTTTAGTACACCGCTTCTCCTAACGTTCAATAAATCTGCAAAGATCAAGCGCAACGGATGATGAAGCCTGCCAACGCATTGAGATGAGGGCTGCGTTTCCCTGTGCAAGTTTTATAATTGGGTTCTTGAATATTAATACTGTAGTGCTGTATGCGAGCAGCATTGCTGCAGCATGTTTTTTTGGACAGACTGTGCGCATATACCCTGTTCCTTTTACATGCAGGCTGCATGATTCCAAAAAGGGTGGTTGCTTACTGTTTGTTAGGAAGTATGTTAATGGTTAGGATTTTTGGCAATGTTGGTGTTTGACCGGTTTTGACGTAATGGAACAGAGATTGTTATTTTTAAAGACATAGCTGTTGCGGTAGCTATATGACCTTATGTAACATATGCAACATTTCATTGCAATGCCATCATTCCAGTAACGTATTACTGTTATACTGTCATTGTTCCATGAAACATACCCTATTTTACAAGTAAATTACATGAACGCATCCATATATTTCCATTAAAAGATTGGCTAAACAAAAAAAACTACGTTTCAAATATTGCAATGTAAATAAAACGTGTGCATTCATTTCACATTCATGTCTCAGATAAAAAGTAAAAATATGCTACATTTTCACACGTACATTTCACAATCATATATTTACACATGTCATATGTTTCATAATACAATGTTTATGACTGTATCTATAAACCTATATATACTTTTATGACAAAATACTGGATATGTCTAGTTCTGTCTTGTACTTTAGTACACGATTAATTGTGCATTGAGTACATTTAATGGTGACATGGATACTGACATACATGCTTAGAAATTCTAACAGAATATTCCATTATGTTTACTGCAGTCCACGGTGTTTTGAGACATTCAAATGTAATGCACGCGCAAAAATATTTGTATCTGCTGTTTTGTACCATCAGTAAACGTTAATAGGTTTCCTATGTATTCAGCACGTACAGTTGGACTTATGCTCACTGGGCTGACGTAATGGTTTGGAGAACAGTGCTGCTGTGCTTTGCAGTACAAAATCCTGGCTAAATTAAGCATTAGATTTCCCAGATTAACTCATTCAGCACATTGCGTGTGTATCATTCACTTGTCCAAGCGTGAAAAAAATTGTCAGATGAGAGTTTGAAAACTGCAGCAATGAAAGATGCCAGTTTGCTTTAAAGTTGAAGAACTAACCGACATCTTAGGCCAAAAAAAGTGTTTTTAAAATGTATTTCTACACTGCACAAGGCCCTGAAAGGCACCGCTTAATGGCACAATTTTTGTAAGTTGATGATGACATTTGTAAATTGATGTTGCAATTAAGTAATAATGCAGCCTTGTTATTCCTGGACAATTTAGAAATGCGAGGTTGTATTAAAGTTGAATGTAAAACATCGTGTAGCAAGTGATTTGAAGTGGGTAGTTGAATTGGCAAACAGGATGTACTGTAAGCCCCCTCCTGCTGGCCCTTTAGCTAAAACAAAAGTGTTTGGGCAGGTGCACCGTGTGTATTGAAATAGTGTAATGAAATAACATACACAGCGCTAGTCAATCCATTCATAACATGAAACACACCTGTTTTGTTTGGAGTACGACTCTGTGAAAATAAGTGGAGTCATTGAATCTTAATAGCTCAAGGTTTAAGCTTAATCTTTTGGTTATAACGTAGTTCTGCAGTGATGCAGGAAATCGTCCTTGATTGGCCCTATTTTAATCTATATTTTACACAATGTATTATTATACTGGTCAACAAAAAAAAAATTTCTGGCCTGGACTTTTGCAGCTGTTTTAGACCAATTTTGAGGGTGCCGATTCCAAATCTGATCTCAGATTTGCTCTATCACATCTCATTTTTATGCTATCGGCATACCCCATTTTCATTGATTTTACCCGAAATTAACTCTGTCACTTATGATTACAAGTTGTTGCGATTCAGTGACTGTTTTAGTGTTAAAATATTGTGCTGTATTTTTAGAATAGTGTGTTTATAATATAATTTGATGTAGATGTCCACATTTATTTAATATTTTTCTTCTGCAGTTTTTATTGAAAATGCAATATTTGATATCTCAAAATCCTGATGTGATAGACAAAAACTGATGCCAGATTTGGAATCGGCACCCCAAAATTACAACCGTTGGAATATCTTATGCCAGAAAAAGTGTGTTGACCAGTGTAATAAAAGTGTGTTGACCAGTGTTATTATTTGGGCTGCGTGGGAAATCATTCAAAAACATGTTCCACTTTTGTTGTAACTCGCCCGCTGATGGTGTGGCACCTTGCTCGGGACAACACGGCTGGTCGTACAGATACTATCGAGTTGCATGCGGGGCTGCTTTGCTAACGTCAGGCCTTTTTCTTTCATGCCAAACTTGCCCAGGCACCCTTCATAATACCTGACTCGAGACCGGTATCCTTTTGCAAGGCAAGTCTTTATTATTGTACTGTATTGCTTCATCAGCCGGCACTGGTCGCCAGTTGAGTCATTGTTGTCATGGACTTGCCATGTTGGTATTTGGAATGGGCAACAATCCATTAGGCACATGGACAGCTATACTCAAAGAGCCCCTCCTCTGTTGACATAGTGAATGAATAAAGAAACGCGCTCTTTCATGGAGGATGTTGGTTTTTGTCACGTTTTTTTCTTTATTTGTTTACTGTTCTTACAGTTCAGAATTTGTACAAACAATCGTAGAGTGTCCATGCGATTTTAAACAATAGGGGGCACGAACAATTCAAGGCTGAACACTGCTGAGCCACAGCATTATAAGGGCTCTGCATCGCATGAACCATGGTAATGGAATATAAACACTTGAAATAATACAGAAGGAAATTCATTTAGTGGATAGGTCTCAATAGCAGATTTTACCGCTCTGTTGGGTGTGCCAAACCTGAACCTTGACTAATGAACTCGTGATGGTAATATGTTAACGTTTTTCTCCTCTATGCTGGCATTAATACTTTGAATGCTGGATAAGTTAGCAGTTGGCAAGCCAGATCTTTTGAGGCTGAATATCTGGCATGTTAGTTCTATTGAATCAATTGAAGTTTGACGCCAGTGTTGAACTGTACCATATATCTGAAGCGGTGGAGTAATTAGTTAATTATTTTACGGTTCATCTTAAATTAGCCACTGGCACTTGACAGTAATGGATCATCTGGCCGGGTGACGTAATGCCACGTCGGTCAGTTATTCCTCTGGTGGTCGTGGCGCGCACATTGTAATCAGTGCAATTGGATTCTCTCCGCAGGGGGCTTTGCCATTGTGTTTCTTGTGAAAACATCGGGCGGAGTTCGCTCTGCACTCAAGCGTATGTACGTTAACAATGAACACGATCTGAAGGTCTGCCAGAGGGAAATCACCATCATGGTAAGAGTTTTCTACAAAGGCCAGAATATGTCAGTATATCTTAAAAATCCAGAAGCACCATCACCTTTCCCGATAATGACTTACACATCCCACGTGTGTACATGTGTACGGCCCTTTGTCAGTACACTGCTGGATGAGGGCCTCCCTGCACTGCAGGAGTTATTTGACCATAACGCGCCAAACTGATCCGTGCGTGTTGGTGAAAGCGGTGAGCGTAGACGTGGCAGCATAGAAATACAATACAACGGTGGATTTTTCTGCACTGCCCTTTGCTGACTGCCGCACAGCACTGCCTAGCCGACACGTATGACAACCTCGCGTGCATGGCAGTCGCACATGCTCAGCCCTGCTTAGACTGAGACGTGAAGAGATCGGGCTTATTCCATATGATTTGGTCATATATTCTTCACATAAATATTGGGGTTTGAATGTTAATTTCACTCGTGTTGATTTGACTCCATATGATGTATAACAGCAGCTATATTTTTGGAGAAATTGATAGGTACCTGCAATGCAATGTTTTGGAAAATATGACCTTTAATAATGTCATGAGGGCATGGAAAATGCTCTCACAGTTAACTCCCACTTATTTTTCAGGACCTATGGTTTGCATATGAAACTGATGTTTTTAATTCTACGTTCTTCCACTCCTATTCAGACTCGTTAGTCCCCATCTAATAACACTAAATCAAAGTGCATTCTGGACATTGTTGCAATGAAGACATGTGAACTGTAATGATGTAAAGTAAATACGTGAAAAAAATCTAAGGCAATCCATCGAGTGGATTATTTCAATTACAGAATAAACCACTGTATTGCGTGTACCGATCCTCGACGAATGATCTCGTTATGATGCATGTTTATTTTTTGTCTTCTCCATTTTTCACTCTGAAACAGAAAGAGCTGTCCGGACATAAAAACATAGTAGGTTATCTGGACTCCAGTATTAATGCCCAGACCTCCAGCGGCGTTTGGGAAGTGCTCATTCTCATGGAGATATGCCGTGGTAAGCCCAGCTCAAGCCTCGTGTTAAATCAGCACAACAGCCACAGTAATTCCCTGTTCCACTTGGAAGCCTCCTAGCCAATCGTTGAACCATCTTGCATGTGGGTTTACTCTATACAATCTAATGGAATTTATCTTGCTTGTAATTTGTGTGGTTGTTTTTGTTTTGTTCAAGCAGTATGAGGCTAACGAGTCGTCCCACCATGCTACCTAGATTTAGATTATCCATGGATGCAATTGATCGCTGCCGTTGTGTGTTAATGTGTGTGCGCGCGAGTGGCTGTGCGTGTCCTCTCAACGCCCGCTTGCTTATGCTTCAAACGCGCGTGCTTTCCATACGGCTGGGCGCGATAACGCACGCGCCGCTCAGCATTGCTGTCGCCGGCGTTTGAGCCAAGGGCTCTCACACACAGCATTGTGCATGTTTTATGAATGTATGCCTGAAGTGTACTGGGCTAACCTTTATTATAAAACCTGCGGTGGTCTCGTGTCCAAATAATGGTGAAATGATAACGGAAGCACATGTGGTTGATTTTACTGTGCACTGTTGTGTTTTAAATGACATTTCAAATGGTTTATGTGGAGCACTGAACTACAGCCACTGTAAAAGTAGGCACCGGTATGGTCACTGCAGAGTTATTAATTGCTGGTGGGATTTTACTGTCGAGGCAGGCACTGCAAATGATAAACTTCCATGTGATGTGCATAAAAGCACCTGCCAGCCATCTCACTTTTGAGTTCTGCCCTACGAATCCCCCATTTCTTCTCATATCACCCTAGGGAAGAGTAAACAGCTGTGGTCACCTACGTAAATTACCGTGCATCCGTGCCTCTATTCTCAGGTGTAAGACTGAATGTGAAAGCTCGCTGTTTTATTTTAGTGAATGCAATGGGACCCTGAAGTCTGTCTTGTTTCTGTGTAACCTTTCACCTCTAGCCGGCCAGGTGGTAAACCAGATGAATCAAAGGTTGAGCACAGGATTCACAGAGTGCGAGGTCCTCAGGATATTTTGTGACACCTGCGAAGCTGTTGCCAGGCTTCACCAGTGCAAAACGCCAATTATCCACCGTGATCTGAAGGTACCTCGGAATATACTGTACTGACATCACGAGCTGTTTATTATACACCGATCATCTCGCTTGCCTTTCGCTTTGTTGGCTTTACAGCTAGCCACCCTGCTGAGTGCCTGTAGAATGTGCTGGCAGGTTATTAGTTTGAAAGTGAACGCACAAGATATCTTCAAATAATAGCCAGATTAACTACCACTGCACTCCATACACTCGGGGCTTTAAATATTAATCCTGTCTTTGTTTAGATGCATGACAACAGTTGAATTTGATATGGATCTAGGCCGACGGTAGAATATTTTCGATGTTTTTAGATAAGTACAATGATACAGAGATATAATAATCCAGACAATTTTTTTTATATTTATAGCGTGGCTGTCGGCTAGTATCAAGTGACATTTTATAATTTGATAAGTATGGCATTAACTATTCTAGCATCTCCTTAGTTACATCCATCCTTTAATTATGAACATCTCATTTAACAGGATTATTATTAGCGTATTAGTGTCCTAACAGCATGATATTTTCCAGCTTTGAAGAAAAGTGTCAAAAGTGTCCAATCACTTTTTTTTTTTAATGTGATAGCTTGCTTGAAGATGCCTAGCCCAAATGATGTCTCTGTGTGCTGCAGGTTGAGAATATCCTGCTTCACGACAACGGAAACTACGTGCTGTGCGACTTTGGCAGCGCCACCAACAAAATCCTGAACCCTCAAGCGCACGGGGTCAGCGCCGTTGAAGACGAGATTAAAAAGTACGATCCAACTTGGCCTTTTCACATGGCTTCACCAAGGGGGGAGCCAGGCCGGATGCCTCCAACCCTTGCTTCGTGTGTTTAAGAACTCGCATCTTGGAATCCCTGCCTCACTTGATACAGCAAATCTGGCTGTGACGGTCACACCTGATGACGGAGACTTGTGTTGCCTCCGAAACGTCGTGATTTTTTATTATTTTATTTTTTTATTAATTTTAATGAAATTTTTTACTTACGTGACTTTACCGAAAAAACTAAAGAGTATATTGCCCATAAGTCTCTCTCTGCGTCACCCGCTGAAAGCTGGCCAGGAGCAGCAGTGGCATTTAACCTAACAGCGGCACATTCTTCTGACGTGTTTTTTTGCCATCGAGTCTCTCTTTTTTTTTTACTGTTTTTTAAGTTTTCGGTTAGACGTGCATGAGGTTATTTGTTTCTTTTTGTAAGGAGACGTAAGAATATTTTTTATGCTACAGTCGCATTGCAACTTACAGATTGACAGTAATTTCACCGCAACTGGCAGTAATATCACAACAGACAATGGTGGCAAAATTGTTCACAAAACAGCTGACAAAAGAACTTTAAACGCTCCTGGTTTTGGAGCTACTACATATCACCATTAAAATAAGACCTGTTACCGCTTTTCATATTTTTTGTTAAATTATTGCACGTAAAAGCTTTGAACCCTGCCTTGCAGTTTTGTTTCCTTTTTGACAGAGGTTAGATCCTTGGAAGCCATTTCAGAAGGGAGGGGGGGAGGCAGTGTCAAGATCTGTTATGCAAGCAGACTTGACAGATGGTCCTGAAACCAAAACAAATGCAGACTGGGAAGAAATACATAGCTTTGCATTGATTTTGTTCGTATGTTGTTGCAACTGGACAATTAATATTTTTAAAGATTTTTTTTCAGCACTACCGTATACAATATGTTTGCTATGCTGATTGCCGATTCATCTCAACCAATCTTCGTAAATAGTAATCTGCCTATACGTGTGTGTGATAAATATGATGTTGACATTTTTGGAATTTTGTGAATGCACTGTGGTATGTTCGCATGGATGGATGGGGGGGGGGTGGTAGGAGGTATAATTTATTTGGACGTTGTGATGTTTGTTCAGGTACACTACGCTGTCATACAGGGCTCCGGAGATGGTCAACTTATACAACGGCACACCCATAACAGCAAAGTCCGACATTTGGGTACACGTTCGTTGTATATTGCACACACTTATACAACCTAGGAGAAGGGCCATTAGATAATCAGTGAAGATTATTTTTTCGTTACTTATTCAAGCAAACATCTATTTAACTCGTAGGTTAAATGCGAATTATAATGGACGAAAGAACGATGTTGTATAAAATCTCAACAAACACTGCATTCTGGGTCATAAAACAGACACATGAGCTGTGTATCTCCCCATGAATACAAAATATATTTCAGTTTAACAGCCTGTATACCTTCCAGGGTTATGTAAAACAGCCAAATTTTAACCCTGCAAGGGCAAAACTAGTTCCAGAGGTTGGAAGGCCAGCCGGCCAATAGACGAAAATAGAATTTTTATTTATGTGGAGATAAAAAGCAACTGTCAGTCTGAAGGTAATGTTTATGTATTAGATACGTTGATAAAATAATATACTTGATGTCAGGGGTTCGAAGTCAGGAGTTCATGTGTCCCAGGAAGAATGCAAATACATTAAGAGGCCTGCAAAAGGCCAAGCGGCCTGCCAGGGGGCCTAAGACATTTGAAGGTGCTTGGAAAAGCAAAGGAAGAATCCAAACACCACTTGTCCAGCTGGTATAGATCCCACCGGTGGCATAGTTATAAATACATTTCATTATCTTTGTATTAACACAGCCGTACAAATGGAGTCGTATACTTTTATAGCGTTTAGAAAGTGTACAACATTTCAGGAACACCACTTGAAATCATATTTTTTATATATATAAGAGAGCGGTTGTTGTTTGGATGAATACAATTAGCTTTCGTTTATTCTTCCCTTTAGGCCCTGGGATGTTTGCTGTACAAGCTGTGCTTCTTTACGCTGCCGTTCGGGGAGAGTCAGGTGGCAATATGCGACGGGAACTTCACCATACCCGACCACTCCCGCTACTCGCATGAAATGCACTGTCTTATACGTACGTCTGCATTTCTTCCACACATGGCACGCAACATTACGGCGGTATGGCATTGTTTACGGGAATATTGAATTGCCATTATATTTTTCTTGGTTCTTTCGGTAAAGTCACGTAGAAGGGAAATAATTAAGTAATAAAAATACAACAATAAACTACAATTCTCACGACGTTTCGGGCACAACGCAAGCAGCCGTCTTCAACTGAGGTCTTCACCTCAGGACGGCTGCTTGCGTTGTGGCCGAAACGTTGTGAGAATTGTATTTTTATTATGTTAATTTTTATTATTTTATTATTTCCCTTTTACGTGACTTTACCGAAAGAACCAAGAAGATGAATCCCTGCAGTCACGAAAGCTTTAAATTGTTATTATATTGTTATGGGAATATCTTGTGGACAGCAGAGGGCACTGCAGCAAAATCCGTTGTAATCTATTTCTGTGCTACAACTGTACAAGTGACTTGCCGCCTTCACCAACCTTGCACTAACCATCGTGGTGAGATATGGGTCAAATAATCCCTTAACGCCCTGCACGGCGTGGGGAAGGCGAATATAGCAGCACATTTAGACGTACGAGAGTGGTGGGTTTGCTTATTTATTAAATATCGCCCCCTAATATTTGTAATGACACGTCATTACTGAAAGCTGAGTTTATAAAAAAAATTATACATTAAGTAATTTAGTTTGAAAATGCTATTCTATAATAAATACATCTTTACCGTTTTTGGAGAAATTACAGGTTTTAATTTGTCTTCATCTATGACATCCTTTCCGTGCATTTGTGCACTGCCGAGTACTTGCGTATCTTTGCTAATTTGGCACTCCTGAAATGTACGTTTGTTTTTTTGCTTTAACGAGGCTTTCTTTCACCTTGCCTGCCCTGCTGTCTTAAAATATCTTTGTTAAGACCTTAGCATTACGTCATGCGTATTGTCCTCTCTTGAATTTTTCATGGCAGACTCGCCACAAATATGGTAACAGCGGTTTGCCTCCGCTGCTCTTCCGATGTCAATGCTGCCATCCACAAGACGAATTATTCATTATTTCATTGAGTATCTTCCCGCAGGGCCAATATTGATATAATTTGAATGCATGATAAAATAATTGTATCTAATGCCTGTAAAAAAGCAATAATAGCATCGTGTTTCGTACAACTTTGCAATTAACCCTGTGTCCCGTGGGTCATTCCTGGCTATGACTAATATCAGTGACGAGTGATAATTGAACCAGTCCTGGGACCCACCATCACCAACTCACGCTAACCAGCGTGGTCAAGTGTGGTCAAACAACCCCTGTGACCACAGCGTGGGGGAGGTCTTAATTCGCACCTCCGATTAACACGGTTGGCTACGTAACGGTGTGAAAGAAGAAGTTATACATGCATCCAGCAGTGGATTGACAAAAGGCTATACCGTTACAAATATTATTAACCCTTATCTTTGTATCAGGCTACATGCTGGAGCCTGATCCAGACATCAGGCCGGAAATCTACCAGGTGGCCTGCTTTGCATTCAAGCTTTCTGGCAAAGAGTGTCCCATTCTGAATGTCAACGTAAGCTACTATTTTTCTATTGTTGTTGACTATAATTATGCGTTGCATATATTTTTTTACTTAAAGTTGCATCGTCTTGGAACTTAAACGAATGTCATCCATGTTTGCGGGTAATCAAAGCAAGCTGTGGGAACATAGATTTAGCTTTGTTACCTTTTGTAACTATTCAAAAGCAATTGTGCATGGCTGCGCGTGCACTATGTGTTGGATTGCCTATAGATAAAGAAATAAAGTTCCGTTGATGTGTTTTATTATAGATGACATAGCATTGCACATGGTTGCCAACAGTCTTGTCTACAGTATTCCATCGTTGTGAGATAAAGTGTTTGTAGGCCAGTGCTATTGGCCGTGAAATTTGCTATTCAAGAGCATCTCTGGAACATATTACTAGCTAATTACTAAGGAATACTGTATGTATGTTTTATGCTACACGGTGATAATGTCCATGTTATGCCAAGGGAGTGTTTCGTTTAACTGTCGATCATGACTGGATAATACTGGTCAGTGGGCCAGAATGGTGTTCAAGATTATACTTGAGGATGTTTTGCTTGCATTGTTAGCATTGTGATGAGCACAGTTTGAATTTCACAGCTTGGTCAAGGTGTGTCTGTGTCAACCAAAATACCAGCATCAAATTGTTGATTAGGTTTCAGTAATTTATCACCATGACCTTGGACCAGTGTTTGCCGTTTTCCATTTGGGTTCTTCAAAGGTTCTTCCTTTGAGATAGACTATTAAAGGGGCAACAAAACTCACAACGATCCCTGAGATCGTGTGAAGGAACAGTGCCATTGGTTTGACTGCGCGTGGTCGTTTGCAGGGCCTGTCCCTTCCCAATAAACTTCCGGAGCCACTGAAAGCAAGTGAAGCTGCTGCCAGGAAGACACAGTCCAAAACCAAGTGAGTTTCCTTTCTTCCTAATCAGATTTCTCGTACAAAATACAGTCGTCTTCAGTCCATGGTCCCCATTTAATTCCATTTACTGTAGTTCCGCATCTGTTCTGGGTTATCATTATGGTTGGATATATATACGAGTTTTATCAAATTTACCTGGAATACACCCGATGGCTTCAGATTGCGCAGAACGTGGCTGAATAATGCCTCCAGCCGGGGTGGGGGAGGGGTTGAGCCTGCACAGTGCCTGCCTGGATGACCACCGTGCACAAAACAAGTATTGTAGGCTGCTGCAAGGCGACATTGTCATCATTGGGCTGTGCAGCAAAATCCGTTGTACTGTGCGCCAATGTTTATGCTGCCCGCTTTCACCAACCTGCACGGACCAGGGTGGGGACGTACGGTCAAATAACCCCCACGACCCACAGCGTGTGGGGGAGGTTCTCATATGGCAGTGGTTTGCCAAAGGGCTACATGGTGAGCTGGTCGCTTGCAATATTTTTCAAATTATTAACAAATCATGGCAAGCATTCAAATCAGGTGCATTTTTACAACAATTGCACAATCATTGACTACACCATACAGCCTAAGCAGCCACATCTGTAGCCAGCAATCTGGCGATCCTTGGCCCATTACACGCCGTCTTCAGCGTTGTTGACCGTTCGCCCGACCGTTTACCCGCTAACATTTCCACACCCGATTTCACGCAGACTCACTGAAACGGTTGGCCCCACTGAAACGTCGATTGCCCCACGACAAAGGCCCAAGGCAGGGCAGACAAATCCCGGTGCGGTGGGCATCCTGCCCCTGCAGGCAGTCTCTACGCCCAGGAAGAGGCCTGTGGCAACCGCCGCTGCCGTCGCCACCCAGCCAGGTAAGCAGTTTGTGATGCTTGGGCACAGTGTAGATATGGGGGGTGCCACTCAAGATATGGGGATAGGGGGATAGGGGGGGGGATGTAAAATTGCATTAGTTGGTTGATACTGTAAGAGCAGACTTTGAGATCTGTATGTATGTATGTTGAACTTATTTAGCACAGAACAAGGGAAGGACAAACTAATCACAAAAAGAAGTTCTGGAGAAATTTGTTTTCAATCGAGATTTAAGTGTATAGCTCCAGTGGCTTCTTAATATCGGAAGGAAGAACGTTCCAGATGGCTGCAGAAGCGTGTCTGAAAGTGCGCGATGCAGTGACTGTCTTTGTTCGATGGCTCGCCAAAAGCCGCTGCGAGGATGAACGGAGTTTGTGTGATTGGTTTATGCTCCTTTACGAGAGATCTGGTGGCATCACCGATATTTGTTGGGATGACCCGTTTAGCTTGAGTACTTCAGCAGCTAGACACTGTTCAAGGTGGGAGCAGGTGAGGGCAGAGACACTGTGGCTGCTTCAGTTTGACGAGGGACAGGAAGGGAGCTTACTGAAGGGTAGACACTGCCATGCACTCTCAGCGCCCGGGTTGCCACCTGTCATAGTATTTCCAGAATTGTCCTCCCTTCGAGGTAGCCATCCTCGGAAATCTGAACGTTTTGCCAGGACATTAAAAGTCTCGGTTTTTGTCATTGGCGTAATGATACCCCACTCAAGACAATGTATTTACATGTAGTTCTCCCCTATTTCGGCATTGTGAGATATTCTTCGTCCCGTGATATGTCCTGGTTTTATTTGTGCCTCAAGAGGTGTGGCAACCCTCACTCGCCGTACATACGTTCCCACACTTGACTCAAATACGTCGCGGTGGGAAAACAATGAAGGTTGACGAGTGCTCTGCTTCTGCTGCGCCTGACTGGTGCGTGTATGTGTTGTTAGCGCCCATGCCGGTGAACAACTCGTCCAATGCGACCGCGAGCCAAACGGCTCCTCCGGCAGCCGCCCAGCCTCAGCCGGCGCTGCCGCCAAACGGGCAGCAGCAGCTTCCAGCACAGAACTCACAGCCGGCTCAACCCGCACAGCCTGTTCAGCAAGCTCAGCAGGTCCAGATTCAGCAGCAGCAACAGCAGCTCCTGCAACAACAGCAGCTGATCCAACAGCAGCAACTACAGCAGGTTTACCTGCAGCAGCAGCAGATGATTCAAGCTCAAGCCCAACAGGTTCGAGGTTTTCTTGAATTCTGGGAAAAAGCTGTTAGGTGTAATGATAATGCATTGTAGCTGTGCTGAATTTAATATTTTTTTCAAGGAAAACTAAAGCATGAGTAGGCATAGCTGTGTAAATTAAATATTGGAGTTGGGTCAAAGTGGCTTTTTGAAGGATTTTACAGAATTGTTTTTCTAGCAGCGTTTTATGCTGTAAAGAATGCAAGAATTTGCATTTATACATTCAACACGTGAAAAGTAAATTAATTGTGAATAATGCAGTCGTAAAACTAAAGTCAGTTATGTGAATCCACCTGCTAAATTGCCAACAAGTAATCATCATGAGTAAAACTGCGAGGTGCATATAAAAAACAAATCACCATGCTCTTTTACAACATATTGATTGTAACTTGTAACCTAGATATTGACTTTTACATGCTGGGTATAATAATGGAATTAAACTATTAGTTGATTAAACATGTTTTCCATGTGGCTTCCCTTGACAAATAACGCCGCATTTAAGAAGATGAATTAGTGACGAGTTACCCACCACAGCATGCGCACATATACACGCATACCATTTTTATTGTTTTTACAATCACGTAATATTTTGAACGTGCAGAGATGTACAGATGTTTTATTCGCTTTTAACGCACCATTAATTTCAACGAGTAGGAACTTAATTCATCGTGAGTGTTGTGTCCCAGTTAATGACTAAGAGCTGCATGGTCATAAATGCCCAGTGGAAATAGTTTCCTCTGAATGTAGCAATAAATAATATACAGCCCACTATCAATCTACACGGCTTGACGAGAGCTCCCACGCCGTGCCGGACATGGGGAGGGTCGATTGAACGTACATCTTGCTGGTCTGTACAAGTTGGTGAACTACGAGGTGAGGGTGGGGGAAACGGCCCAGGATGAGTAATGAGACATCGCGGGTCGCTAATGTTAGCAATGGTATTGAATCGAACGCAGGATGGCAGGATTCTAGCACGGAGTATAAGGCCACTGCGCCCGCAGCTTCACCCTCCATTGCCTCTTACCGGACAACAAATGGTTACGCGTGTACCTCAGAATCAGGATATTTATACTGCAGAAATCATAAATCACTAAAGACAATATAAATAAAACCAAACTATTTAGATTTTACCAGTTAAAGCCCACTGAGTTATTGGCTTATTTTTCAAAATGGACCTGGCCACAAATAATAGCTTAATGAAGGGGCTTATGATAATTGTTTTTTTACCCTTCTATCTGGCAACAAAACTGACACCTTTTTTACAAGGAGTCATGTTTGCATAGACCACAATACCTGCAGTCATAATGCAAACAAAAAACATAACTCTGATAATGTATGCACTGTCCTTGAAGTTGATTGGTCCACACCCAAGACAGCTTTCCTTAGAGCCTAGTCTCACATGGGTTGGACCAGATGACGCCAAAAGTTTTGTTATCATATTTTTTACTGGCAAATGAGGTTCCAATGGTGAAGTGGCTTATCACGTGGACATTTTTAGCAGCCAAATAATTTTAACCGCGTGTTACCTCTGTGTGCTGTGCACTCACAGCAGCTCCAGGCCATGCATCCACAGCAGCAGCAGCAGTTCCTCTTGCAGCAGCAACAGCAGCAAATGTTGCTCCAACAGCAGCTGTACATGCAGCAGTGTGCAGCCATGCAACAGGCGGCTCAACAGCAGGCAGCGCAGCAGCAGGCGATGGTGAGTGGGGCTGTCACACACAACGGCAGAAGTGCAGAGTGTGGTGTGTACTGTGTTGCACTCTTCTGCATCGCTACAAACTACTGCACTTGGCGTATTAAAAGGGAGCACACAAGATGGTAGCCAGGAGCAACAATGATAAAAATTCACAGTCCGTTGTGAATGTATTACTCGATGTAGGCCTCCCTATGCCGTATCGGTCGTGTTTGTTGTTTGACCATACTTGACCGTGCTGGATGTGTGGGTTGGTAAAGGACGGGGGGTGGGGTGGAGAGGTTGATTCAGATATCTCTCGTGTGTATGTAGAACTTGTTTCGTACCGTACGTAGCCAATCGTGCTAATAGGAGGTGCTGATGTTAACTGTGGCCGGGAATCAAATTCGCCCTGCTGTGTGAACAGCCGTGAGTATTACTTTTTCCAAGGCCGGAATTCAGATATTGTCCACACTACACCATTACTGCCTATTAGTGAGGGAACAAAGGGTCACCAATTATGAATACATTCCTTATAGCTCAGGATTGAGTAAAAAAAAATGTCATGTCTTTGATAAAAATTGGTTGTGTTTTCTTAGAGCAATTGCAACCAAACAACATACATTGTTTGACCAAAACTGTTTTAATCAAAGGCCACTCTTCTTGCATTCTTGTGTTTAAATTATATATCTCTGCAGCGTGATGTAAACAATTCAGTCAACATAAAATACGATACATGAGGAAAATAATTACGAGCACTTAGATGGAAGAAAATATAGTCGTACGAAAAGGGTGTAAGAACAAAGCCCCACACATTTCACACAGATGATTCATACCCCAGCTTGAGAGCTGTCGCTGCACTGGTAAATTAGCACGGGCTGTGGGGACAATTCTGATGTATTCTGAAAACGGTGCGGGCCTGCACTGATGTGACCTCATATTCTCCTCCTCCGAAGCTCGTTTTAAGCCCCGCAGTGACGGTGATCTCATTGCCTTCCCTCTCTCTCGTCCTCTCACACTCTCTCTCGTCCTCTCACCTACCATTATAATGCTAATATCGCTGCGCAGATGACTCATTCGCTCTCCTTTTCCCTACTTGCGCTCCCCCATCAGCTGGCCCAGATGCATCAGCCGGCCCAGGCAAGCCAGCAGCAGGGTCCCCGGCTGCTGTCGGTAACGCCGCCCTCGTCCCCCAAGGCGCAGCGAGCGAGCGGCCACCGTCGCATCCTGAGCGACGTGACCTACAGCTCCGTGTACGGCGTGCCGGCCAGCCGTTCCACGCAGGTCATGGCGGCCGCCGCCGCGCAAGCCTCGCTCAACAAGTCCAAGTGAGCAGGTTGAGTCGGGTGGACGGTGTGACTTGAACTGTGTGTGTATATATATATATATGCTTGTCTGTTATGAGATTATTCAAGTTCAGCTCTAGGTATGTGTGTATGTTGAACTTTGGCACCGTACGTAGCAATCTGTGATAATCGGAGGTGTGGGGGGAAGGACAAAAGCAGTTCTTGAGTTGAGTTTGTTGTCCTTTCCCCGTACCTCTGATTTGCATGGTGTGCTATGTAAGGTATGACAGAAGTTCAATATGCATACATACTGACAAATGTGTGTATGCATGCGGTAGTGTAGCGGTTAACGCGCTGCGCTATGAACCCGGTGACCCGAGTTCAATTCCTGCTCACGGCTTAACACCAGCGACGATTATCTTAACCAGTCCGGGGCCTCTCCTAGGTTGACTCGTGTGAAAATGAGTACCTGGTGTGGTGTGTAAACATCACCACTGGGGAGACAAAGGCGATCGGGTGTAGAGCTGGCCGCCCACCTCCTCGTGTGCCATGTCAGCCTTCATAGGTGCTTTCTAACAGCACTCTCCTCAAAAGTCTGTTCAGGCTATAATGTCATTTTTGTCTTGTTACAGTAATGTAAAGTGCCATTCGTTAGGAAATATTTGTAAAATATGACGAACTTTAGGGATAATGCAGTAGGCAGAAAAATGCGTGTTGTACTGTATTTGCTCCCAAATCTATGTTCCCGGACTTCACTAACCCTCACTGAACAGCATGGTAAAGTATAGTCAAATAATTTGGAGGCCCTCATCCAGCAGTGGATATTACAAAGGGCTGAGTGTTCATAACATACTTTCAATGCATCGCCATTTGCATAATTTAATTATGTTGAGTCAGTTGGCTGGAAAATCTCCAACATATAAAATTAGACAAATTAAATCAATTCTAACCTATATGCCTTAATACAATTATCGTGCAACAAAACAATTGCTTTCATCTAAAAAAAAATCAACATTAGACTTTGAATTCATTCAGCCCAGAAGTCGTTTTTTTGATAAAAGTCAATACAAATACACAGGAGAGCATCAAACAATCTGAAACGTTTGGAAATCTGTACCCTTTAAGTGCCTGTCCTCAGGAAGTCTGCTGAGGGCTCCACAATCCCTCATTGTAGTTGTGTACGTATTACTGAACGTTTCCTGAAATTGCCCGCAGTCCCAGTTCGACTTTGAGTCATCATTTGTATTTTAACCTTAGCGTGGCGAAATTGCTTGCCTGCACAGATCTGCAAGCACCACTCCGTCAGGTTCCCCACGCTCGTCGCAGCAGGATGTTAGCCGGTGTGCTGCCAACGCCCCGGACCTCACCACCTGGAATCCTTTTGGAGACGACTTCACCTCCCTCTCGTCCGAGCGCCTTGCGGGTAACGTGCTCTCCCCAGTCCCCCCCCCCCCTCTCCTCTTACGCAGTGCAACAGCATCTTTACGAGTGCGAGTGGGTGGAGGTTGTCTTTTTTTGAACTGGGAGGAACAAAAAAAAACCCAACACGATTGCTTTTACAGATCAGTGTTTTTGATGGGGTGTTGTGTAATTGAAGGGTTGTTAAATAGAGCCGGGTTGAAAAGATGACTGTGAACAGTAGTCCATGCGCAACTCTGACAGAATCTTAGACCCGTACTTGAGTCGATCGTTTTTATCTCGCAGGAAACAAGGAGGAAGACGCACGGACCCCTGTCGATAGCTTGATTCCTGGCCTACAGGCTCCCCAGACCAAGGTGCAGGTTCAACACCCACCAACGACCACGGGGCAGGTGGCCACGCAGCAAGCTCTGGCACAGACCGACATTTTCGGTGCCGTGCCCTTTGTTTCCAAAGCAGGTACTGTGCACCCTCAATACCGAGGAATAATGAGGCCGCCAAACTTGTTTTTTTGTTGTTGTCCGCCTGAAGGCATTCAAAGAAAAGTCTTGACGCTGTGTGTAAAGTAATCATGTGTAACACTGTTATCTCACCAATGTGAATTCAGTGATGTTCAGGAACATTTTTCGCCAGTCATCCAAATACGGCACTAAATTTAGACCAGGTAGTAGAAAACGCACTACATGGTCACGAGTTCTGTTTCAAGTATTGACGTAGGTTTTTGTTGCTGCTGCTGCTGCATGAGTCATACGTTGACTTGCGCTTTCATGGTTTACTGTACCCACACACTCATTACCAAATGCTCCTGTTTCCTGCTGCTGCTGCTGTAATTATCACTCTCTTTCAACCTCCTTGTCTATCATTTTATTTCCTTGTCTCTGGCTCTCTATGCGCAGACAGCGACGCACCAGAGCTGTCCCTTCTCCTTCCGCTCCCTCCTCCCCCTGCATTCGCTGATGCCCCCGACCCTTTCTCTCCGCTGCCAGACTCCGACCATCCAGGTAACAGTCACCAGGGGGGGGGATCTCACCTCTCACATCAGCTGCGTGTGTGTACGTTGAACTTCTTTCGCAACGTACGTGTAGCCAACTGCTGGATCAGTGCTAAATAGGAGGTGTGGGGAAAAAGACGACAAACTAAACGCAACAAAGCAGTTCTAAAGAAATGGGTTTTCAGTTCAGATTTAAAAGTGCATAGCTCCAGTGGATTCCTAATATTGGACAGAAGAGTATTCCAGACGACCTTGGAAATGCAATTCCAAAGCGCACGATACAGTGCTCACCGTATTTGTTCGATGGTTAGCCAGAAGCTGCTGCTGGAATGACCGGAGTTTGCTTGATGGTTTATGCTCCTTGAAGAGCTCAGCAAGGTTTTGTTGGTTCATGTTATGACAAGCGCTTTGTGTTGTAATGAGTGCGACTGTATAATTTATTGTTCGGCAACCAGAGCATATTAGCCACCTAGTTTGCAGGTGATCACGATCAAAGTATCATAATATTCAAGCCAATAAAATAAAATGTATTTTGGCAATTTATATCCTGAAAAATAATTCCAGTTTAGCTACCAAGTCCCTTTCTTGGCAGTAGGTGGCATCATTGTGCCTGCAAGAATGCATAATTTCGATTTAAAGCTTTCGTGACTGCAGGGATTCATCTTCTTGGTTCTTTCGGTAAGTCACGTAGAATGGAAATAATCAAAATAAAACATAATAAAATAATTCTCACGACGTTTCGGCCACAACGCAAGTAGCCGTCCTCAGGTGGAGAGCAGGTCTGTCGAGGAGACAGCGTCTGTCGAGGAGACAGCGTCTGTCGAGGAGACAGCGTCTGTCGAGGAGACAGCGTCTGTCGAGGAGACAGCGTCTGTCGAGGAGACAGCGTCTGTCGAGGAGACAGCGTCTGTCGAGGAGACAGCGTCTGTCGAGGAGACAGACCTGTTCTCACCTGAGGACGGCTACTTGCGTTGTGGCCGAAACGTCGTGAGAATTATTTTATTATGTTTTATTTTTATTATTTTATTATTTCCATTCTACGTGACTTTACCGAATGAACCAAGAAGAAGAATGCATAATGTTACTGACGATTGGGATGAGTATGTAGGTTTCAGATAAAAATGGCATGGGTGGTCACTCAGAATTCCGTCTATGGCCCTTGACAACTGTGTCTGCTTTACTCATGTGCCGTCTCTGGCTGGCTGCTTTTCCCGTAGAAAAACTGATCCAAGGCCTAAAATCTCCAGAGCCTTCCCTCTTGCTTCCTGATCTGCTGCCTGCGTCAGACCCATTTGGCAGCCCTGGCGAGAGTATGCATGGTAACACATTACTAACACAGCTGGGTTTTATTTTTGCTAATATATTTCATTTGAAAAGCTAATGTTTAACTTTGAGTTTTATAAATCAAGCATTCCACTCTGCTTTAACAGCATTTGAAATACTAACACTTTTATACGAACATGCAGACTAATACCATCTACTCAATAGGATATTGCTAAACACAAAACGGCGCGTGTTTTTTACTGCACGGATTGTTAATTTCACATTCTAGATTTCACATTGCCTTGACACATTTTGCCGCTCACATTTTGTGTTTGATCTTGCGACGGTTCGTTTGAGATTCGATTTCTTCTCTCTGCTCCTCTCTACTGCTGGATCGGTGGGATTTGCATCACTGCAATGCGCTGTAGGGGAGGCTAACTCCCTGCCGGCTAGCATTAAGTCTGACCAGGAGGCAGCAGAGCCTAAAGACGATGAATTTGATCCTATTCCTCTCGTTCCCAGAAAGAGCTCGCCCAGTAAGTATGTGGACTTCAGAGTATATATAATGTCCTTTGAAGCATCAATTTTTCGCATGTTTTTGAGAACATTACTCGGTGAAACACTGAGAACGTCACTGTGTTTGTGTCCTATAATGACATATTTGCTTCTCCCACTACCAATATGAACTCGGTGTTAACCGCCAGCTATACTCTGGTTTTTTTAATTGGTTGCTGAGAACTTAAGGGGCATGGTTATTAAAATATTCTAAACCAGAGAATAGCTTCCATTTGGTGGATTTAAAGTTGCAGTCAATTACCTTTTCTAATAAACATACAGTTTGTATGTTTACCTTCATAGTTTGTGGAGTGTTTTGACATTCAATTTATGCATGCATTTTCTTGTTGGTTACAGTATTATATGTCTTGAGTAATTGCTCAATCCCAATCCATCAAGAGTGCGGTGTTGTGTGTTGAGTACATCCAAGCCTGTTAGACCAAGTTTATGCACATTGTAGCTGACTTCTTCTCCGCCTGCATTCCGAGTTGCATGATGAAGGGGTCACAAGCAGTTATCCTGAGGTGCAAAATACTCAAATCTCTGGCCATGGCAGGCCAAAATGCCCATTTTGGCAGGTTAGAGCTCACATTTGTTTAAAGGTTGTATTTAAAAAAAAAATCACAATTCACAACGGTGTTAAAGAAAACCAAATTGTACGCAAAGTTGCACGATCTGGCAACTCTGGCAACAAGAACAATGAAATACATTTAAGCTCAGCTTGGATTGGCGATGGTGCAAAATGTTTGTCTTGATTGTTCTTAATAACTTCCTGCATTTCACTTAAGCAATTATATGCCGGCTCATGTTTTACCTTAATCGACTGTTTTAGCAGTTAACAAACCACACATCCGCAAGTTATTTAATCGCACCACTGCACTCAATTTACATTTAACACAAGCCCTTGTGCTTTGTTATAATTAAATTGTACGTAGACCAAATCCTTGCTTATCCTTTATTTGGAGAGTAAAGTAATTGTGCTTGCTTCTGTTTATATAGCTTCCCCGGTCCATGCAAATGCATGTTTAATATGTTACATCTAGATAAATGCGTACATGACCAAGTAAGCACTTTTTGATAGAAAACACTTTTTCTTAGGAAGACCGGGCATGCATTTTTTGAGAGATACCGCACAAAATAATACTTCCTGTCTTTGTTATCATTAACTTTCCTTTGCAATGTTACGTAAAAAAAAAAAATTGCCACTCAAGCAATTACATTTCTCTTAATTGACAAATGCATATATTGAAATGACAAGTCCTCTCATACGACAATGGCTATTTTCATAAATGTGGCTGAATGAACAAACATCCTACAAGCACAATGGAGAGCCATATTTAGACACGGCTCACAAATGTCTAAAATTCAGAAGACAGCATATTTTTGCCAACTTTGAATTGCTACCTAATGCAATTCAATCCGTCTTTATGCTTGCAGTCAAGTTTATTTTGGGTAAGGCCCATTGAAATTTTTGAATGAAACCAAGTGTCTGCATAAAGTTTCATGTGGTTGCTGTTCATATGTGCACAATGTGCATAATAGCTAATTTCCTTAGTAGAAACATAGCCAATGCCAAAACACCAAACATGAGCCAGGAACATCAGAAACTATTGCAACCCATGAACCTGTAAGCAGATGGATTCTTGTTGCAAGAGTGTAACTGATATATTGTTCCACACGATGCATTTATGTAAATGTTTCATGATTTCTCTCTGTTCGTGTGTGTGTGTGCGCATGTGCGCGTGCGTGCAGGCCATTCGCGGAACAGCAGTGAGGGCTCAGCGGAGGGTGGGCTGCCCAGCCTAGGTAGGCCCCTGGTTCTGGTGGACCAGCTGATAGACCTCTGAGAGAGAAGAGCTCTGAATCCCACTGCTGGCTTCCCTGCTGCCAATCTCCCTCCTCTCGCTCGCTCGCTCGCCCTCCCTCTTGTGCACTCGGCAGTACCGTCGCAGCCATACTTAACCCAAACAGCCGAACCACTTTGTCCTGCTACACAACAGCATTGCAGTCCAGTTGCTGACCCCCCCCCCCCACGCCCCATGTATCTTGCTGACCCCGCCCGTACTGGACATCTGTAAAAAAGAGCTTCATAGCTCATCGGATTCCTCCAGCCTAAAGATTCTGATTTGATTGTCAGTGGTTAGCGTCGGTATTCGTACTGCACTGAATGATAATTGAAATAAGTGATGAGAAAAAAAAACAATGGCCAAACTATTTACCCATGCAGCCGATTGTTTATGATATTCCGCTATGGGAAAATTTGGATGGTACGTTTATGGAACATGATGCGATGAGCACTGAGCTGGAAATGCATTTGCTAAATACTGTGGCTGTACCGGTGTTGAAATCTGCTGCATTGCTCCAAAGGATCCTCCTCCTCTTACTTCCCTTGCTCCCCTTCCTCCTCCCCACGCGAGAACTCCGTGCATGAAGACTAAAAGACTGTGTACCAGGGTGGCGGGGTGGGGGGGGAGACCTTCAAATTGTGGAGCGATCATCAAAATAAAGGGCAAAGCTCTGTGTGTGAACTGGGGGCGCAGCTGCACTACTCATCGCAGTACTTTAGATGCACAAGCGTCGAACATGGGCTCTCCTCTAGTCTCTCTCCTTTTCTTGCAGTACCTTCTTTTCTGCTGCATTCCTGGTGTGAACGCCACATTTTGTCGTCATCATTGCCATTTTATTGCTGTGACATTCGAGCCATGTAGACGTTAGCTATTCGGAACCTTGAGATTCATCAGCCTTTTCCCGTTCCTGCTTCCCTAGTATTGCGCGTGCGGTCGCTCGGAAGGGGGGCTTTTAATTTAATTCCACCGGCGTTGATTGCAGCTGTGTGTAGATGAGAATGTATATGGGACATAGGGTAACTTGATGTAGAGCAGACAATTATTATATATAGTTAATGATGATTAGTAGTAGTGCCAGTGTTTGTGAATTATTTAAGTGGTGTTGGACGTCGTGATATTAAACTTAAATATTCGTATTACTTTTGGGTGTCGGATGTAATTACGCGATATAGTTTTTCTGCAAAAACGACGAGAGAGAGAGAGAACTCTACACTGTTCTGTATTAAGCGTGCGCTGCTGATGAACTGTGAAACAATGAGCAAAGAATTGAGAAAATAAATAACTGTGTTCCAAGTTAAATACTTATACTGACTGACATGTAGCATAAATTTCCTTATTTATACAATGGGTGCCAAAGTGTAAGAACATAATTTGGATGAAGTGCATACACAATTCATATTCCTCATGAACGTAAAAATTCATTTCAAAGACTTATTAAACGAGCACACCCACAGCCCGACTCAAATAATATGTAAAATTGCAATGTCTTTGGAAAATCTCTAGAATTATCAAAGTGAAATGTGAACGTGCAAGGATCTTGCTTCTGGGAATATTCTCACTCGCGTGAAAAATTTGGATGGGAAATGATAACAAGTTGAAATTGACACCGTTTTAAAAGTGAATATTATCCTGCGATGTGAATCAATGAGATAAATGTGCGGGAAGCCTCGCCGGAAAAGGTTGATGACACGATTGTTTGAGATTGTATATCATGTTTATTCTTAACCATGCAATATCTTGCTGCCCCCCTCCCCTCACTCCCCTTAGTTTGTGATTTGTCAATGAGCTGTAAACTTTGTATGTACCGATTTGTAAGTCGTGTGCTAACTTCCCTCCTTGTGCTCTACTGTAGAAGTAAAACTCCTTGTGCGAATGTTGAACTCTTTGATTTTTATTTTCAAACCATATAACTAAGAAAAACTATTTAACCAACATACTGGATCTTAACGAAATACGAGTCTAGCGAACAGTGGTCAAAACGAATTGTCTTGCAGACGCTCCCCTACAGAAGGTGCTTCTTTCTCACTAATATCCTCCTACATTACAAATGCATGCGCCTGGCACTACATGGATGGAGCATGACCTTCTGTTATGCTCGCTTGCTGCCGATCTGCAGGCGCGGCACGAACAAATGTTTAGCAAGTCACGAAAATTGACCACCTGCTTGAGAATGTATGACCTTTTCAGCATTGTCAAGTTATGGTTCTCATAAAAGAACAATTTGTACTTTTTTTGCACATCAGACAAAAACTTAGTTTATAGGTCGGGCTTGGTCTGAGTTTTATCAAGTTTTAACACTGCTGAAAGCGGCAGACGTGTCTGATATATACCTGCCGATTTTCTGTTATTCTATTGCCTTGCCTACTGATAATGTATATTAATACAGTGGTCTTCGTATACGGTAACAAATTACATTGCAAGAACTGTAAATGTGGCAGCTGTGAATCTGCAAGTCAGACGAGCACATGGAAAGTAACAGCTTTATGCGCCCCAAAGCAGGCTACACAAGAGGCTTAATGTCATTTTATCGGCACAATAATGCCCATTGACATTTTTCACCACTACTAACATGCTATTGATGGCATTACTAACCTTTCATTAACCATGCATAACTAACTGGGCTGACGGCCAATAAGTGGGTGAAATGTGTTGTTTTTAAATCGTTTTAGGCCAACAAAAATGTTTGCTTGCATCTTAAAATTACCACGAGTATTTGAAACGATGGTAAAAACTAAATTATCATTTGACTTCGTTGTAAAGATCTTAAAGATAAACTGATGACGCTCTCCAATTGTTTTCGGTTTATAGTTCGCCGGATGCGGGATTTCTGGCTGTGCCGAAGGGTGTTGTTCGGTATCCTGTCCGACGTTTCATAAACTTTACTTAATTGCAAAGATCATAAAGGCAAACTGACGATGACATACTCCTGCGTAACTTTTCGCAGTTATGTCGTTGGAGAGCCCTCCGGTGTGTTTTCGCCTTGTACAGCGAGCACGCTTTCCGGCACGATGTCCATCCGGCATTTTACTCCACACGCGCTGGGGAGCTTCTTCGGTTCTCGAAGAACACGGATTTGAAACGTCGGACATCATGCCGAACAACACGCGGCGCAACCCCCGAAAACCTCGCATCCCCCGTCGAGCTATAAACCGACAACGAATCGTTTACTTTTTGGACAAGAGTGACGGCTACTTGGTTGAGGGCAGCAGCAACCACGGTGGTGTTGTTGTGCGTGGCTCGCGGAGAGGGGGATGAACGGTTTTGATTGGGCGGCGGCGCTTTGTCTCCCCCCCTCCAGGGCTGGCTGGTCACGCCGCCTCGCGCGTGGCAAAACCGGCGGCCTTCCGGCGGCCTGGGCAGCAGCAGGCGGCACTCAACGGCCAGTGCCTCTACTCCCCCTTTTAGCCGTGCTGTTGTCATTGCAGTGCGGCGGGGGAAAGTTGTGGGGATTCACCAACAGAATTGCCGCTTAATGGGAGGCAGTGGGAGAGAACCAGGGGGGGGGGAGGGCACCTAGTGCAAAAAACACAACTGCTCTGCGTGCATTCGGTTCTTGCAATGTATCAACGTCCGTTGGCTTTAAAATGTTTGCGGCATAAATAATATTTCCTGTTTTGCTTTGGTATGGTTTTTTCCCCTTTCACAGGAGAAACTGAGTGGTTTATTTTCTTTTTTGGTGGATTGTGAAGCTTTTCCTGTTATTTTTGAAAATTTGAAATTAGGTTGCAGGTTTTTACGAAACCTGATTATTTCCGGTTATTTAAAAAATATGGCTTTGAAGTAATTTTGCACACAATTTCGAACGTAAGAATTGTTTTTCTTTTCCAACCTGTGAAGACTTGATTGTGATGGAATGGACCGCAGCTGTCATTTTATCTATTTTGTAATACTTGTTGGAAGCAATTGTATTAGCACCCATGTATATTGGTGATTAGATTTTTTGTTTATTTCTGATGATCCTGAGATAAACATTTTACAATGTACACATAGTTTTCTGTGGAATTACATGTCACTAGTGGCAGGTTTAAACCATTTAATTAAGCTTAACGAAAATAAATTATGTATTATTCTACTCTCCAAATGCAAGAACGAAAAATGATCTCCAAATCGTTAACCAACACTCTGCACCTTTACGCAGCAAAAAAAATTATTGATTACACAAATCGCACGATAAAGTGAACCATCATAACTGGTGGAATTTGACTGCAAAATAATTGCGATGGGAATTAAATAAGTGGACGAGTTTCATTGATGCCACCGCCTGCACCGTTGTCCACGCTCAGGTGGTGGTGGCCATGTTCTTCAGAAGACTGTTTTGGTCGCATTCCTCTATGATCTCTCCTTGCACATGCTTGTCTATAGAAGTTCACGGGGGGGGGGGATTTATTTTTCATTTGGAAACTGTCCACGTTGACCAGGATATGTTAGATGTCCACGAGGCAGGATTGACGCTTTCTTATTTTGTTTTTCTTTTCGCACAAAGGGAAAACAACAAGCGCGTGCCGTCGATTCGTTGCGTGCGCAGAACGAACGTGTGTAGCGGCGCACGAGAAAACAGACGTCTCCGTTATTGTGAGCAAACCGAGACGGATGATTGCCTCGGATTGACATTGTGAAGCCTCGCACAAAACTCTGACCGAGACGGATGATTGCCTAGGATTGACATTGTGAAGCCTCGCACAAAACTCTGACCGAGACGGATGATTGCCTAGGATTGACATTGTGAAGCCTCGCACAAAACACTGACTGTGTGTTTTTTTTCTTTCATTTAAAATATTTCAACACTTTAATTTCAATGCAGTGCAGCAGTTTTTTGTTGCTGTTGCTTTAAACAGTTTTAAATCGTTCAGAAATTAAGTCATCGCCATTCCATATGCATTTTAACGTTTCCACAAGAATCCGGTTTATCGTGATCATTCCAATTTGAACACACTTCATTAAAAATTGGGACCATTATGTAGGTGAGGATATAATTTGACTCGTTAAGGTGTTCCATTTTGTGCTAAATTACACAATGTAGCGCTGTTTTATGCTGCTTGTCCTCACAGCTTAGCTTACGTGTGTAACCTTAGCAGGTGCAAGTTTTTACTTTAAAAAGCCATTGCAGCAATGCAGAATAATCTTACCTTTCCCTCTGCAAACCCTAAATCATCATCGCCCCCTGCATGAAAATAAACGAATGAAGCATGCCCGGCGTAAAGCATTCTATGTGTTTCAACAAAGCTACAGATTATCAAAGGCTTACATACTGTGACAAGATGCAATTTATTTCTCAGTTTGTTACCGTGAGATTTTCCGAACCACGGGGCACTCCTTTTGATGCGACATTGTAGAACAAGACGTTTAATTGTCCTCTGTGAAAGGTTGCATGTTTGATTGTAATCCAACATTACACGTGTAATTCTATCTTAAGAAACCTGTTCCTTCACATTTGGTGCAACCAATACACAAGTGGAGTGAAAGTGAATACAGCTGGTCTTTTTGTTATTTTTTCAGTCCCCTTTCTCAAAGCTGTTTAATCATTGCAAACCAATTTAAAGCTTTCGTGACTGCAGGGATTCATATTCTTGGTTCTTTCGGTAAAGTCACGTAGAAGGGAAATAATTAAAAAAAACATAATAAAATACAATTCTCACGACGTTTCGGCCACAACGTTCTTCACCTGAGGACGGCTGCTTGCGTTGTGGCCGAAACGTCGTGAGAATTGTATTTTATGTTTCATTTTATTATTTTATTATTTCCCTTCTACGTGACTTTACCGAAAGAACCAAGAACATTGAAAACCAGTCATTTCCTTTTCCCGTTTTACAAAACTCAATACGATGCATTGCCCGTGTTTTACGCCGTTGACTGTCAATTGGACTAAAAAAACTCATTCCGTAATTTTAACAATTCCTGGCGATACCAATCGATGTGAGCTTGACAGCATCCCAACATGTTTGAGGAGGTGCAGCGTCTAAACAAAAAAAGTGCTGTTGTGCATTACAAAATACTCGCCCCTGTGTTGTTTATCTATCGTGGGGCATTTGCAAGTCCAATTCGTGCATTCAACGATTCACCACTACCAGACCAACAGTGATTATGGCTGAAAAGCTGTACTTTGAGATAGTTTTTTTCTCCAAAAATGTATACGGTGAAATAGTTTACCCAAAGCAACATTTAAAAACAAAAAAACTCGGAGGCACTTCCACCGTATCTGTGTTGACGCTTGCTCGACTGAAGCATGTCTAATCCGCATCTGTTTTCTCATTTTGTTAATCTGTTCAGAGCTGAGCATTTGATTACTATGCAAAGCTGTTGTTCCTTCTGAGTTGTATGTGCTTCAGGATCAAGTTCTTTTTTTGCCATATTTTAAACGTTTACCTCTTATTTTTTTGTTATTGTGCGATTTTTAGTTATGTACTATGCAAAAAGCAGATATTCCCCCAAAAATATTTTGTCTATCATTCTTTGGAACTTTTCCCTGTCGTTTGTGTGGTGGTTTTTTTTTCTCTCCTGTTACCTCTTTGATTTTCTTGTCCAAAAGGAAAGAGAATGACTCCATTGCCTCTTTAGCAGCATTCCCTTCTTCCCCGTATATTTTCATGAAATGAAAATGTTGTTCACCCTCTTGTCGCGGTTGTGTTTGGAGGAAAAAATGTTTCGTGCGGTTTCCTAAATGCACATTGTTGATGTGTTAAGTCCCAATCTTTACAACAAAAAAACAACAGTATGATTAGTTGCTTGGAAATGTTTTGTGTAAGGAATCCACCTCCTGTCCCATATAATGGACAAATGCTCTGAAAAAATCCTTTCTGTTGAAAAAAGATTTAATCTTGGAATCCTTAAATGGGTCTGTTATTTGCGTGACTACTTTATGAGATTGTGTAAAGCACTGTATCGGAAAATTGAATCAAGAAAGTTGTAAATCCGCCTCGCCACGTGCGTGTACAGGGGTGCAAGTGATCGTCTCCTGTCTGTATTAATTTTAGTGTTATTAATGTGTTCTCTCCAAATGAATGTTCTCATGCTCACTGTTTGCTTTTGCGTACCAGGCAAGTCTGTCCGACTTGAACAAGGCATTGTTGTAACTGCTGAATTCTGATGTGTAAAACCATTACAAAGGGTTCATTAGTAGGAGCCCACTTAGCTGCTTTGAGTGATGTGTAGTGAATGTGAAATTGTGTACGCCAGTTTATAGTCGGCCATTTCAAAAAGCTACTGTAAAAGGCAATTCGCTACCACCGTCGGATGGTGGCGTGCGGTGATTTTATTATATCAAATGTACAAAAAATTGTGTGCTTGAAGCTGTTTATCAATAAAGTTCCTGTTACTTCAAGGCATTTTGAACACGCTGTGTTTCAAACGCATGGTAACCCACCCGCATGTGTTTCGTGGAAATGTTTCCGAAAACAAAACAAAAAAACTCCCCCAATAATTATTATTGCTCTCATGCTCTCTTATTTCTTGCCAGGATTGTGTTTTAAGAGGTTGTAACTGAAAAAAATGTAAGGATGAGAGAACATGCACATCATTCTGTAGTTTAGTGTCAACGTTTGTCCGTGGCTTTGGTGTCCTTTTATTTTGCTTGTGGTCATATCATTTCCCTTTCCGAGTGTTTGTACACAGCACCCATAGTATGTGTGCACACAGACACATCTCTTGTTGCAATCATACCAACGATTGTGGTTAAAAAAAAAAGTTTCCATTGTGTGTGTCCCATCATTAAAATCGGCTTTGGTGTTCAGGAGTCCCATTACATTTGAGTTGTAACAGGCTTACCGTGCTGTGTTGCACATTTATGAAACCAACACGGAATGTGTAACTAGTCAATGCAATATGCTCGTGTATCGCTGTGTGTATGTACTACGTATGTTTTATATCGCCAATATTGTAATCGCCAATATTGCGATATCGACCGAGTTTTATATTATTATTTCATTCCAACGTTGATGTTTTATAATACGATTATTTAATGTTACGTGCGGACGGTAGGCCGTTTAACAAATTGCTGTCTTTTTTTCATTCCATTGCAGGCACTAATCCCAGGACTCGGGATGTTGTGGCCAAAAGTTCTGTTAGTGTTGGAAACTCACAGTACACACCACAGGCTGCAGTGCACTTGAACAAGGTAGCTGCTAACGTGCCCCATATCACTCTACAAGAAAGCAGGAGTGACGTGGTGAAACGAGAAAACACAGGCGAAGTTGCGTATGGTGTTTACGGAACGCCGACATATGCCGACAAGGAAGCTGCATCATCATTGCTTTATGATGGCAGTGACTTTGAGAAAAAAATCATCGCAGTGGCTTCTGACCTCCCACGCACCGCCACCGATAACTTAATCCCTGAGAAGCAAGAGGAAGATACAAGTGAGATGTATGACGCATCTCCCCTAGATACTTCCACGGAATTTAGGGGTAAAACTCCCGAAACAAGCATCGGAGATGGGACTGGGAGAGCTGGCTTTTCTACAGAGAAAAACACAACGAGCATAACGGTTTCCATCTCTGGAGGGCCAGTCGAGCAGCATCCGGTGGTCATTTTTGAAGAGGGAAATGCCACAATTCGTGATCCTGCCACCCAAATCCACGTTACATCTGGTGCAGCGGAGGTGGATGTGTTTTCGGAGGCACCGTTTCCCATCGGTCAAGAAAGAGAAGACATATTTTCGAAGGCTCCATTTAAACCCGCCGCGCAAGACGACATCTTCCGCAATGCCCCCTTTGTGAAAAAGACTCCTCGGGGGAGCCTGCCGCGAGCCAGCGCCCATGGCTCTCCCGTCCAAGTCCGAAGGGCAGACGACGGAGCGGCTCGTCCGCGGGATGTCGGGAAGGAAGGAAGCGCGGCGCAAGCCAAGGACGCGACCCGCGGCGTCTCCGCGCAGGGCACGAGCGTCGGCCACGAGCGACGGACGATCCCGCAGAAATTCTCCGCAGACATCGCCGACCTCCGGGCGCGAGCTCAGGCGCACGGTGAGGAGCTGGCGAGGAACGCGGTGGCGACAGTGGCACCACCGGCGGTCAAGGCTCGCGCGCCCGCATCGCTGCTGGACAGCGTCAGCGTGCAGCCGTTCCGCCCGCAGGCGCTCGCGCGCTACTCGCGCCACCACCGCGGAGACGACGGAGGCGATGGAGACGCGCACGGAGAGCCGTCGTCGTCGGTCGTCGTCGCCGTCGCCGCAGAGACGGCGGCGGGCGAATGAGCCGCCCGTCAGCGCCGGACCACACGGAGGGAAAACATGAGCGGAGGGTGAGCGCACGGCTCGGGGAGATTGAAAGAATTCGCTTAGTGAAATTAACCCGATTGGCACTTTTGGAAATTTGCACGTTAGGTGTGGCGAGTATTTTAAGTAAAAAAAACGAAATTTGCCGTCTTATTTATGCTTCGTTTAATCCAGGAAATAAAAAAATCGGTGGCTCACATCTCTCGACCATCAACGCGTGTAGACGCGTTGATGGTCGAGAGATGGGAGCCACCGATTTTTTTATTTCGTGGATTAAACATATACAAAACATGCTTCCTCAGTCAAGCTATTCAAGATGGAATAATCACGTAAATTATTATGGGCATGCCCACGAGTAGGAGTGGTGACGATTACGGCAACAGATTGCACACAGCATGTGCATTTCACACAACACCATCAATCATTCTGTAAGTGGATTGGCCTCGCGCAACACGGGAAGGATGGCTGATTAATTTTACTAAGTGAAATGGAGTTTAATTCAACCTTTGTGCATGGTTAAAATATGCATCCCTTTAAATATATACACACACATACATAACACAAACACAGCACTGTTCTGATAATCATTGCAGTCTCCATATCTTAAGCTTACATCTTGCCTGCCCAATGTACACATGGCCGTGCTGTTACATTCTCACTTTAAAACTATGAATAGTCATTGCAATTGGGTATACATTTGCGTCGTTTGAGACGGTAGATTTCACTGTATTTGTGTATTAATTTACGAGGCGTAATGTCAAAACAACTACAATATCCCAAAATAACACTGTTTCGTGTGGCACTAGTAGTGTGTTGCTGCTAACGCAGCCGTCACATCGCAAACCACTTTATAATTAAGAGTACGTTTGCCTTGTTTTTAAATGTATGTACTTCTGAGCCTAACTTGACAAAGCACATGCGGTATAAGCTGTTCCAAAGATATTATAATGCAATGCTCGTGTTCTCATTTTTCCAAGCACTGTGCGAATCAAGTGTTATCGTATTGTGAGGCACAAGGCTTTATTTCATCATGGAATATTTTCTGGAAATCAACCCCAGATAGAGCTCCTGCTAAAATTACGGCATGAGTTAAAATCCATCTAGTGTAACACCTCCACGACGTTCATCTACACTTATAAAGCAAGAAACTCAAATTGCGCTGAGTTACTGTCGCATGCAGCGTCCTCTACGTGCAAGTTCTGCTTTAGGGGTGGCGAGTTAGATGAGCGATGCACGTGCATGGCAACGGAGCTGTTACAAGTAAAAAGACTTTCATAAAGAAAAAAAATATCTGCCTTCCAGCCACTTGCTACAATGCAGACTCCAAAAACGTCTCCTCAAAGTCCATTTGTAATTTCATGTGGTGAATGTTGAAAAAAAACAAAATCTGTACGTACAAAGATAAACTCTTTTGATGGTACGTGAAAATATCACCCTGTTCTAGGTTTGAAGTTTTCGTGACTGCAAGGATCCATACTCTTTGGTTCTTTCGGTAAAGTCACGTAGGTGAACATTTCGGAGGCAACACGAGCTTCCGTGATTTAGTTATTTAAATTTTATTTAGTTTTCACCTATATGACTTTACCGAAAGAACCAAAGAGTATCACCCTGTTAACAAAATCGCCCGAAATGCACCCGGCTTTTTGCCAGATCTTGGAAGCCAAGCCGGGCTTTGAGCCTGCATAGCACTTGGATAGTGTGGGTGACCACCATGCATGCCAGCGTGTTAGTAAGTAGCTGCAGGGCTGTACTATGTTGTGGTTAGCAGAGGGCAGCGCAACAGGCTCTGATGTTGTGTTGTGCGCCTGTGCTTGAGCGTACATACTCCCCCCACCCTCACCAACATGCACTATCCAGTCACAAACATGCACTAACCAGTTGGGTGAAGTATGGTCAAAATCCCAATGAACTGCACGGTGTGATTGACGCTCTCGTGCAGCAGTGGATTGACATTAGGGCTGTTATATATGCATGGAAATAGTATATGTGCCCTACACACAACAGCACGTAGAGATATACTCGCTCTGTAACGGAATTACAAGCACTAACAAATTATGGTTGACACTTATGTGTAAAGTTGCATGTGCCTGCATTCGAAACCAATTAAGCAAGATTTAAATATAAACACGGTGCATGAAAAGAAATCCAAGTTTATGAAGTAGCCAATTCCCCTCGGTTGGGAATTCGTGCTCGCAGTCGTGCCCTGGAAAGAGAGGGGTGGCATTAACGTTCACAGGAGTGGTTGTTCCCGTCACAGCTAATTAAGTTTCATTTCATGACAGCAGTGGTTGTTCAGCTGCCTTAGCTCTCAAAAGGCTGCGGGAATGTGGTTTGCAACCGTACACGGCGATGAATGCCGACTTCAGTTTATGCCACCTCTAAAATGCATGTCGTGTAACGCTTGCAGTTTTGGCCGCGGCCCGTATAGTTTTAGATTTCGGTGTAAATTTGCTACTTCGGTTAAAAAAATTATACTAGCGGTTTGGTTTTTTTTCTCACCGTCACTTGGGGGAAACAAAGATCTTGACGTTTCGGCCGACTGGCCTTCAGGAAACGCCAAGGATTGTTATGAGAGCCTCATACTATGGAGAGGATGGGGGGGGGGGGGGTGATTCAGAACCGACCAGCAGAGGGGTGTGGGTCTCCTCACATTGGATGAAGATATTGGACTCACTGAAGTGCAATTAATCCTCGGTATTTTACGATTTCTGAAATGGTATTTAAGAGGTTAATTGGCTGGTAACATTGTCTCACTGAGATCTGAATGGTTTTTTTTTTGAGTGAGAAATCCAAAGGAATTCATGAGGTTAACAATGGGCACAACATGACGGTTTATCGGGTAGATACCAGTATTTAAGAATGCAAATTTGGCCTGGTGGGATTGTTTTGTCTCTTTCCAAAGATGTTATGTATTTGCATCAGGTTATTAATGGCATTATGTCGATTCGTGACTACTGGTGTCCACGTTGGTATTGTTTCAAGACACTTTTGCCTGTGTTTTATTTATACGTTTTGGGTTGCGGTGAATGTTTGCTGATGAATTATTCGCCTTATCGTGTTGTGAAAGCACAATCAGTGGCACCCTGGCTCACGAGCGTCTACGCAAACTTGGC